TCCTTGTGTCTCTATTTTTTAGAATGTGAAAGAATTTCAGTGACCCATTGTGTCTTTATTTTTAAGAAAGTGAAAATATCTCCAGGATTTGTTGTGTCTTTTTTTAAATGTGAAAAAACCTCCGGGACCCCTTGTGTATTTATTTTTAAAACTGTGCCAGAATCTCGGGGACCCCTTGTGTGTTTTTTTTTAATTTGAAAAAATCTTCAGGACCCCTTGTGTCTTCATTTTTAAGGAAGTGAAAAAATCTCCAGGATTCCTTGTGCCTTTTTTTAAATGTGAAAAAATCTCCGGAACCCCTTGTGTCTTTTTGTGAAATGTGAAAGAATCTCCGGGATCCCTTGTATCTTTTTTGAAATGTGAAAGAATCTCCAGGCTCCCTTGTGTCTCTATATTTAAGAATGTGAAAGAATTTCACAGATTCCTTGTGTCTTTTTTTAAAATGTGAAAGAATCTCAGGCATACCTTGTGTCTTTTTTAAGAATGTGCAAAAATCCTTTGTGTCTTTATTTTTTAGGAAGTGAATAATTTCCAGGGCTCCTTGTGTATTTTTGTGAAATGTGAAAGAATTTCCAGGACCCCTCGGGATCTTTTTGTGAAATGTGAAACAAACTCCGGGACTCCTTGTGTCTTTTTTTAAATGTGAAAGAATATCCAGGAACCCTTGTCTTTGTTTTTAAGACTGTGGAAGAATCTTAGGGACTCCTTGTGTCTCTATTTTTTAGAATGTGAAAGAATTTCAGAGACCCATTGTGTCTTTATTTTTAAGAAAGTGAAAAAATTTCCAGGATTTGTTGTGTCTTTTTGTAAATGTGAAAAACCTCCGGGACCCCTTGTGTATTTATTTTTAAAATGTGAAAAAATCTCCAGGACCCCTTGTGTCTTCATTTTTAAGGAAGTGAAAAAATCTCCAGGATGCCTTGTGCTTTTTTTTTAAATGTGAAAGAACCTCCGGAACCCCTTGTGCCTTGTTCTGAAATGTGAAAGAATCTCCGGGACCTCTTGTATCTTTTTTGAAATGTGAAAGAATCTCCAGGCTCCCTTTCGTCTCTATATTTAAGAATGTGAAAGAATTTCAGAGATCCCTTGTGTCTTTTTTTAAAATGTGAAAGAATCTCAGGCACCTCTTGTACCTTTTTTAAAATGTGCAAAAATCCTTTCTGTCTTTATTTTTTAGAAAGTGAATAATTTCCAGGATCCCTCGGGATCTTTTTGTGAAATGTGAAACAATATCCGGGACTCCTTGTGCCTTTTTTAAAATGTGAAAGAATATCCGGGATCCTTTGTGTCTTTGTTTTTAAGACTGTGGAAGAATCTTAGGGACTCCTTGTGTCTCTATTTTTTAGAATGTGAAAGAATTTCAGAGACCCATTGTCTTTATTTTTAAGAAAGTGAAAAAATCTCCAGGATTTGTTGTGTCTTTTTTTAAATGAGAAAAAACTTCCGGGAACCCTTGTGTATTTATTTTTAAAACTGTGCCAGAATCTCGGGGACCCTTGTGTGTTTTTTTTAAAATGTGAAAAAATCTCCAGGACCCGTTGTGACTTCATTTTTAAGGAAGTGAAAAAATCTCCAGGATTCCTTGTGCCTTTTTTTAAATGTGAAAAAATCTCCGGAACCCCTTATGTCTTTTTGTGAAATGTGAAACAATCTCCGGGACCCCTTGTATCTTTTTTGAAATGTGAAAGAATCTCCAGGCTCCCTTGTGTCTCTATATTTAAGAATGTGAAAAAATTTCGGAGATCCCTTGTGTCTTTTTTTAAAATGTGAAAGAATCTCAGGCACACTTTGTGTCTTTTTTAAGAATGTGCAAAAATCCTTTGTGTCTTTATTTTTTAGGAAGTCAATAATTTCCAGGGCTCCTTGTGTATTTTTGTGAAATGTGAAAGAATTTCCAGGACCCCTCGGGATCTTTTTGTTAAATGTGAAACAATATCCGGGACTCCTTGTGCCTTTTTTTAAATGTGAAAGAATCTCCAGGCTCCCTTGTGTCTCTATATTTAAGAATGCGAAAGAATTTCAGAGATCCCTTGTGTCTTTTTTTAAAATGTGAAAGAATCTCAGGGACCACTTGTGTCTATTTTAAGCATGTGCAAAAATCTTAGAGACCCATTGTGTCTTTATCTTTCAGGAAGTGAATAAGTTCCAGAGCTTCTTGTGTATTTTGTGAAATGTGAAAGAATTTCCAGGACCCCTCGGGGTCTTTTTGTGAAATGTGAAAGAATCTCCAGGATCCCTTGTGTCTTTGTTTTTTAGAATGTGAAATAATTTCAGAGATCCCTTGTGTCCTTATTTTTAAAGAAATGACAAAATCTCCAGGATTTATTGTCTTTTTGTGAAATGTGAAAAAATCTCCGGACCCCCCGGGGTCTTTTTTTAAATGTGTCATGTCTTTGTTTTTAAGACTGAAAAAATCTGGGGGACCTCTTGTATCTTTTTTTAAATGTTTAAGAATCTCAGGGACCCTTTGTGCCCTTGTTTTAAGACTGTAAAAAAATGGTGGGGGGGACTTGTGTGTGTGTGTGTGTGTGTGTGTGTTTTTTTTTTTTTCAAAAAAGTGAAACAGCCCTTTCTATATTTTTTGTGAAAAAATCTCAAGAGCCCTTTCTGTCCTTTCTAAGAAAGTGTCGTTATCGCCACCTCCAAACCTTATCACTGCATTCGTCCTACACTTAGTGAGCACGAGCCATCCGCCCAAGGATACCTTTACGACTTTGACCTTTCAAGTTTACCTGTTAAAAATATTAGAAGGCTAACGCACTTTATCGCTTCCTAGTCGAAACGTAAAACCCGAACTTCCATTATTCGTATTTTTAACGGAAGTTCCCCGTGCCAACGCCGCCGTCGCAAATTATTTTTAATGCGAATTTCTCAGATTTAGCACGTCTCTTCTGGCCAGAGTCGGCTTCTCCATCCCGGTCGAATTTAGGCCTAGTTTGAAGTCGACCGCTCTGTGTAATTGGTATCAGAGGCTTGGCCCGCAGTAATGAGTCGGCCTTCACGATTTTAATGTTTAAGACGATTTATTTTTAGAACAGTTTACAGTGTTTGTTTTGCCAGTGTGTACGCCTTTTAGCGTGTCCGGCGAACGCTGCGGTTTGCCAGTCACTTCGGGTGCTTCCATAAATCAATGCATGCCTTTATTTAGCAGGATTTCACATAGAACCAGTTGTGGGATTGATAACATCGCGGAGATGTCGGGATGACGTTATTGCGTCCGTCGTAAGTGATTATTTGTTTTCTACATGTTAATTTTAGATCGTTGTGTAAACTGCTTTATCTTTTTTTGGGGGCTATAATTAACATAAAACACGATCTACCTATCTCGCTCCCACGCGAGAACGTACACCATTTAAGGCTGTTTCTATTTTTAGTTTGTAAAGTAGTTAGCAACTCGCGCCAAGATGGCTTCCGGAAACCTTCACGGCAACACTCAAAACTAACCCTTAAAACTAAGTAACACAATTGTGTTTAATTTTAGCTCATTGTGTAAACCGCTTTATCTATTTTTTGTGGCTATAATTAGTCGAATTCAAATGGAGTTCCATCCTCCTTGACGAGCATAATTAAAGTTTAATTATTATTTTTGAGCGCCGTCTAGCACCACAGCATTAAACGCAGCCGCCACCCGCATGATTACCAACTCGAGTCCGTAAAACGAATCCTTAATTGATAATCGTCGACATTATTAATAACAAATCATAACAGGAGGGACACTTGTTAAACTTTAACGTGACGTACCTTTTGTGAATTTAATTAAGAACTTGTACAAATATTGAACGTTTTAATTTCTTTTTTGGTATTAACACGTTCGGTAAATGTTTATGAGTCGCCAGTTGCACAACTCGACGAAACAAAAATATCTTTGTTTTAATTAACAACAATTATTACGGAAAACAAAACCGGTCGACAGGTCCGTACTTGAACTTTTTATCGGCTAGATTCGTCGGGCTATTTTTAATTTTGGCGACCCACGTACGTTAATTGTTGGAGCGTACCTGCATCACCTTGATCTTGGCAACGAAACGCTGTACCGAGAGGGCAAAAAATCGGTACTGATGCGAATTTAGTGCATAAATAATCATACGACGAACGTTGCACATCGTGCGTCTTTCAACGTCGTGGCATTTACGAAGGCCAACCTTGTTTTTGTTAAGTGTTTTTAGCTGACAATTGGTCGCAAGTTTTACAATATAGTTTGTTAATAAAGTTTACTCATACCAATTTCCGTTAGGAATTAGTAAAACCGCAAATAAAAATTGTTGTGAAAGTATGGCAAGTTTGATAAAATTGTGATGTGACTGACATCTGGTAGTAGTGTTGCAAGTGCAATGACGTCAGATGGTGTCTATGGCGCCTTCTAGTGTGAATAAAAATAAGAATTTTCTTGGTGTTTCGTAAACTTTCCGCTCATTATGTATGTGCAAATATCAAGGGATGTTTTGCATTCCTCCATGAAATTAATTTGCGCCCTAGTTCATATCCTCACTGACTGTAAACAACTCAATAAACTCGTGTTGATTAATTTACTGCAAGATTTTATCTTTATACCAGATAACGGTTTTTAAAAAAACACTGCTAGCTAGAATTTTTTACCACTGCGATAAGAAAAACAGCCTCTATTCTTACGTTTTCCTCTTAACCAAACATCGTGAAAAGCACACTAAGCCCTAAACGATTACTACAGCTCTTGTCAAATTGTCGTGCCTTATCGAAGTTCGACATGCTTTCAAGAGCAGCCTCTTATAAAATAACTCAAGACATGTCGATGAAAAAAAACAGTTTTCGCTTGAAGGCAAGAACACGTTGTCTCTATTGATTCCGAACATTTTACATTTCCCCCAGAAATCCTATAGTGATGCATAGCGATTCGACTCGTCGCTTAATTTCCGGTTTCACGTCACTATCGACAGTCCAATCCGGAATGACGAATGGACGTTTTTTCGGTGTGCAGCTAAATGATTTTCATTCTTAAACCACCTTTCGTCCTTTTGTTTCAGGTGATCCTGGAGTTCCGGTGAGGGGGGAGCCCGGCCATGCGCCTCGGCCTGGCTTCTCTGCTGGTCGCGCTATTATTATTTTCTCCCTCCCAACCGACCTCGTCCACTTCTTCGCCCCTGGAGGATGACGCAAACGAAGGATTTCTGGCTCTCCACGCCGCCCCGACGCGTCTCTCCAGCACGACCAGCACCAAGCTCTTTTCCGGGAAGTCCACGTCCTCCGAGGAGGACTTCCACCGCAACGACCTGGACGCGGGCCACGGGATCGTCTACGAGGACGACGAGAAGTACGCGCCGACGGAGGTCGTGTCGTTCACGGTGGTGGACAGGCACAGGGCCAACCTCACGAGCGACAACCTTAAGAGCGAGCCCTTGGCTAGGAAGAAGACGATCACGGTTGGGTACCTCACGGCCGTCAAGGGGGAGTACAGGGAGAGGCAAGGGCTGGCGGTGTCGGGGGCTTTCAAAATGGCATTGGATAAGGTAAAGAGAATGAAAGAGTACTTACATGTTTTTGGTTTGATTTACCCGTACTACTACGTAATACACTGTCACAAATTTTATGGCTTAGGTATGGTCATTGTTTAAGTATATTATAGTTGGACAACCTATACGGACAATCACTATCACTTATCATCAAACTATGAACACCAAATTAATTCAATATGAACATCTTCTTACGTATTTTTTTTATTAACAGTAGTCAAATCATTAAATACATATTATTTTTGAAACTAAAATGCATTTTATCCTAAGATTGTATCACAAAATATTCATCACCATTTAAATATATACGATTTAGACATCAAGAAATACATTTAAAATTGCAAAAATTATACTACAACAGCCTTAAATGTGTCTTGTATGTACGTGCTTATCAGTATGTAGGCATTTTAACGCACAGCAATAATCATTCTTGATGAGTAATGACTGATGACTACTGTAACACAGTAAATCCTCGAAATCGAAAATTTAAAACACTGAAAAATTCAAATATGGGAAAATTGTAAAATCGAGAAATCGAAACACAAAAAAATAAAAAAAAATAAAATTGGAAAATCTAAAATTTAAAAATCGAGAAATTGAACAATCGGTTAATTCAAAAATCGAAACATCGAAAAATTGGAAAATCGAAAAATAAAAAAAAATGGACAATCGAAAATTTAAAAATTTCGAAAACTGAAAAATTGAAATATAGAGAACTGAAAACTCAAAAAATCGAAAAAAATTAATAATTTCAAAAATCGAAAAGCTAAAATTGAGAAATCGAAAAACTGAAAAATCACAAAATTGAACGAAATATCAAAAAACTAGGAAATTAAAAAATTGAGAAACAAAAAAGTCAAAAAATCAGAGTCTAAAAATCGCAAACTTAAAAAATCGAAAAATTGAAAAATCAAAAACCTGAATAATCGAAAAATTGAAGAACTGAAGAACTGAAAAATCGAAACTTTAGGAAGTGGAGAAATGGGAATATAAAAAAATAGATTAATTGAGAAATCCGAAAACTAAAAATTCAGAAATGTCAAAATTTGAAAAATAAAAAAATATTGAAGAACTAAAAAATCGAAAAATCTAAAATTTAAAACACTGAAAAGTTAAAATATCCTAAAACTGAAAAATGGAGAAATCCAAACATCAAAAAATCAAAAATAAAAATAAAAATCTAAAATTTAATAATCGAAAAACTGAAAAATCAACGAATCGAGAAGTCGAGAATTTGAAAATTGGACAATTGAAAAATCGGATAAATCAAAAATCGAAACATCGAAAAATCGAGAAACCGAAAAGCAAAAAATCGAAAAAACAACAAATCGAAAAATCGAAACATTGTAAAATTCAAAAATTGAGACATCGAGAAATCGAAAAATCAAAAGACAAAAAAAATCGAGAAGTCGAAAAATCAAAAAATTGAGAAACCGAAGTAGGCCAAAATCAAAAAATCGAAAACTTAAATATGGAAAAATTGATAAGGCGAGATTGAATAATCAAAACATCGAAACATCTGAATCTCAATGAATTGAGATCTCAAAAAATTTAAACATTCGTAAATTTAAAAAATTAAAATATAGAACTGGAAACTCGAGAAACTGAAAAATCTAGAAATTTAAAAATTAAAATATGAAACTGAATGAAAGAAATATCCAAAAATTGAGAAATCAGAAAACTGAAAATTTAACGCAAAAATTTGAAAAATTCAAAAATTTAAATACTGAAGAACTGAAAAGTCAAAAAATCGAGAAATCGAAAAAACTAAAATTTAAAACAATGAAAAGTTAAAATATCCTAAAACTGAAAAATGAAGAAATCCAAACATCAAAAAATCAAAAATAAAAATAAAAATCTAAAATTTAATAATCGACAAACTGAAAAATCAACGAATCGAGAAGTCGAGAATTTAAAAATTGGACAATTGAAAAATCGGATAAATCAAAAATCAAAACATCGAAAAATCAAGAAACCGAAAAGCAAAAAATCGAAAAATAGAAACATTGTAAAATTCAAAAATTGAGACATCGAGAAATCGAAAAATCAAAAGACAAAAAAAATCGAGGAGTCGAAAAATCGAAAACTTAAATATGGAAAAATTGATAAAGCGAGATTGAATAATCAAAACATCGAAACATCCGAATCTCAATGAATTGAGATCTCAAAAAATTTAAACATTCGTAAATTTAAAAAATTAAAATATAGAACTGGAAACTCGAGAAACTGAAAAATCTAGAAATTTAAAAATTAAAATATGAAAAAGTTGAAAAATTGAGAAATTGAAATAAAAAACAAAAAACTGAAAATCCAAAAATAAAAAATAGAAAAATCTAGAAGTCGAAAAATGAAAGAATCGAAGTATTGAAAAATATCAAAACTGAAAGAAATATCCAAAAATTGAGAAATCAGAAAACTGAAAATTTAACGCAAAAATTTGAAAAATTCAAAAATTTAAATACTGAAGAACTGAAAAGTCAAAAAATCGAGAAATCGAAAAAACTAAAATTTAAAACAATGAAAAGTTAAAATATCCTAAAACTGAAAAATGAAGAAATCCAAACATCAAAAAATCAAAAATAAAAATAAAAATCTAAAATTTAATAATCGAAAAACTGAAAAATCAACGAATCGAGAAGTCGAGAATTTAAAAATTGGACAATTGAAAAATCGGATAAATCAAAAATCAAAACATCGAAAAATCAAGAAACCGAAAAGCAAAAAATCGAAAAATAGAAACATTGTAAAATTCAAAAATTGAGACATCGAGAAATCGAAAAATCAAAAGACAAAAAAAATCGAGGAGTCGAAAAATCGAAAACTTAAATATGGAAAAATTGATAAAGCGAGATTGAATAATCAAAACATCGAAACATCCGAATCTCAATGAATTGAGATCTCAAAAAATTTAAACATTCGTAAATTTAAAAAATTAAAATATAGAACTGGAAACTCGAGAAACTGAAAAATCTAGAAATTTAAAAATTAAAATATGAAAAAGTTGAAAAATTGAGAAATTGAAATAAAAAACAAAAAACTGAAAATCCAAAAATAAAAAATAGAAAAATCTAGAAGTCGAAAAATGAAAGAATCGAAGTATTGAAAAATATCAAAACTGAAAGAAATATCCAAAAATTGAGAAATCGACAAACCAATAAAGCGAAGTCGAAAAATCGAAGAATTGAAGAACTGAAAAATCGAAACTTTGAGAAGTGGGAAAATCAAAAATAGATTAATTGAGAAATCAGAAAACTGAAAATTTAACGCAAAAATTTAAATACTGAAGAACTGAAAAGTCAAAAAATCGAGAAATCGAAAAAACTAAAATTTAAAACAATGAATAATTAAAATATCGCAAAATTGAAGAATCGAGAGATCCAATTCAATTTGAAAAATTGAAAAATCGGGGCATTGAAAAATTGGAAAATCCAGAAATTGAAAAGCTCAAAAGAAAAAAATCGAAAAACCGAGAAATCCAAAAATCGAAACATCGAAAAATTCAAAAACTGAGACTTCGAGAAATCGAAAAATCGGAGGATCGAGAAATTGAGGAGTCGGAAGACGAAAAGGAAAGTTAAAAATTGAAAAATTGAGAAATTGAACAATCAAAACAACGAAACATCTGAATTCGATAAATTGAGAAATTAAAAAATTGAATAATCGAAAAATTTTAAAAAAGAAAAACTGGAAAATCAGAAATTAAAATTCAAAAAATCGAAAAATGGAAAAGTGAAATATAGAAGGACTCAAAACTCGAGATATCGAAAAACCTAGAATTTTAAAAAATGAAATATTAAAACATCGAAAAGTTTAAAAATTGAGAAATCGAAACATTAAACAGTCCCAGAATTGAAAAGTTTACAATAAATTGAAAATCCAAAAAGGAAAAAAGCGAGAAATCAAAAAAATCCATCAATTCAAAAATCGAAAAGTCGAAAAATTGGAATATTGAAAAATTTCATAACTGAAAGAAATATTCAAAAAATTGAGAAATTAAAAAATTGGAAAATTGAGAAATCGAAAATCTAAAAAAGCAAAATTGAAAAATCGTAATCTTAAAAAATCGAAAAATTGAGGAATTGAAGATGTGAAAAATCGAAACTTTCGGAAATCCAGAAATGGACAAATAAAAAAAATACTTCAGAAATCGGCAAACTGAAAATTTAGAAACGTGAAAATTTGAAAAATTGAAAAATCGAAATATTTAAAAACCGTAAAATTGAAGAGGACAAAAATTGAGAAATCGTATCATTGAAACATCGTAAGATTGAGAAATCGAAAAATAAAAAAATCGAGAAATAGAAAATTTAAGGAATGGAGGAATCGGAAAAGCCCAAAATTGAAATATTGAAAAATTGAGACATTTAAAGTTGAAAAATCGAGAAATCGACAAGCCGAAAAATCCCAATAGCGTATTTAGGTATAAATCACAAGATCAGGACTATTCTACTTTTTAAAATTTAAATACATAACATTATCAATTGGAAAATGTTGATTTTTTTCCAAAAATCTTGACGTCTAAGGTGAAAACTCGACACGGATACATAAACCGTAAACGGGGCGAAACTACAATTTTACTATTGTAAAATTTGGAGATTGCGTCATTTCATTGTTCGTGACAAATTTTAGAGAGTGTAATTTGATAATACAATTTGAAATGTAAATTTTGTCATTCGGGAACATTATGTATTAAATCGTTAAGATGTTTAAGATAATTGTTCACTTATTCCTTGTAAAGTCCAATGGTCGAAATGGGTTAGTTCTTCGTAGTGGATGTGTATCACATCAACTCTAACGAATATCGGTTTATAGATAAATCGCTTAAAGCCGATATTGGCCTGAGTGTGCTTTGGTCTGTAGATCAAACAAGTTCTCAGGCGACGAAAAATTGCATGTGGAGGGAGACTTCGGACTACAAATCGTGCCAAGAAAGACATATTTGGGAGAGATAGATTTTCAGGTGCTTGACTAGCGGTAATTTTAAATTGTTTGCTGTCGTTCGCGAAGTGAAGAACACAATTTCATTAAAATGATAATTATGAAATTATCATAATCACTATTGGTGTTAATTAACACAAAATGGCGCGCAAGTTATCAGTTGATTTCGTTAATAGATTCATAGAAACCTTTATGGGATTTTTTCATGCCTTAGAAAATTAAAAAGTAAAAAATACAATAACAAAAATTTTAAAATGCGGTTTACGAAAAATTAGTTGACCTGTGCAAAGAAGAAAATTTTGGAAACGCTGACAAATATGACATCTTAAAAAAAATAACACTTGAAGAAGTGCTTTCGGCGTAATATTTTTGATGCTCGCGTGAACAAAATACTCTATGTCAGTGTGCAGTGCGCAAAGAGTTAACTGTGCAGATCTAGCCGAAAATCGGAAGTAATAAATCATCCCATCGGTTGAAGAACGTTGGGTTGGTGCACTGATGTCAGTGTTATATCCCGAGAGGGGCCCAATACACCCAATAAAATGGAACAGACAAAATAAAGCTTCAAACATGATTATTTTTATACTAAAATTCTGAAGTTTATAAATTGCACATTTTATTTATTTATTTATTTATTTATTTATTTTATCTTGTTTTCGAACTATAATAAAGATTTCAAACAATGTCTGTAACTTATTTTAATGTAAATTATATTCATGTGGTTAACAAAATTAGATGTAATATTAGTGTGATTTTGACCTTATTCTAGATTCTATTACAGCAGAACGGCGTATCCTTTTTAAATTTTAGAAGTTACGGAAACTAGTTCAAGAAACAATTAGTTATCTCGTATTTTTGGAACAAAATCTACCAAAATGTCCGATAACAGCAATTGTTTTTCATAGAAACAAACATTCTTCAAAACAGCCTTTAACAACTCGATATTACAAACATGCCTCTTAAGTTCTTAATGCGTTTTTTTCTCTCTTGTAATTATTTGCCTAAAGTTTATGTCATTCTGTTATTTACTTTGAACATATATTTTCATTTTGTGTTAATATTTTTGTAACACCACGAATCTAAATTTTGCTTAAAATCTTGTTTTACTTTAATCTTGTAAAACTAAACAATTGTACCAGTTTAAAAACCCTTGGAAAATTTCTGTCAGTCTTCAGATATAGTCAAATAAAAATATGCGTCAAATTAATTTAAATTCAATTCTTTCTTATCACGTTACAACGCGTTGCTTCATATTTTTTATGTCAAGTATATTTTCATATTTTGTACATATATGTTTATACACATTACTGTTTACGGAACAATGTTAATTATGGATTTATGGATAACTCCTCGTATAAGAGCAGAGTGAAGGGTGTTTGCCTTTGCTAATGTTTGATGGCGCCATCTGATTTAGAGTAAAATAAACCTAATACGTTGGCTCACTGTAGTGAAAATGCGCGTTGACGAAAAATTTGTCCCACGCCCCCTGGATTCCTTGTCCTAAAGCTCACTATTTAGGCGAAGTAAAATTTGTATTAGGTTGTCCAACTATAATATACTTAAACAATGGTATGGTCAATGGCCATTTTTATAGGGGATTTTACGATAGACGAAAATAAAATGGACCCGAATAAAGAATATTAACGCCAAGCAAACTTTACCTACACTAAATTATTACCGAATTAATTACCTCGCGAAAACCGACTATGCCTAAAACCGGAAAACTAAGAACATGGAAAACCCAATCTTAGCAGTCCTCAAAGGTTACTTGAGTGGATCATAAATTATTCCACCTAGTTCCAGGCTTGATTTTCAAGGTTCGGTTAATTTCAAAAACCCGATCGATTCGGACACCATTATCCTATATTTCCGTAAAGTTTCCTAATTAAATAACTACAAATACAAACCGCGAGCTTCGCTTCCATTCACTAACTAAACCTCAGATTAATTTTACCTGCATACATTTATCATACTTAAAACTTTGCGGTACATTTCAAAAATAAAACCACAAAAACGAAAATTCCATTCTGTGGATTGTGCGTCGAAGAGTAAAATTAAAATCCTGTTCCCTCGGAGAGGATTTATTTTAACATAAATCGAATTTTGTCGTCCGAAAAGGCATATCCGAGAGCCTCTTCCGCAGTTGGAGTTCGATCAGTGATAGATGAATCCTTGTGAGGGCACGGATTTGTGTGTGAAAAACGAATACTCATATGTGGAGCAAATTTTTACAAAATGAGACGAAATTTCTGTGGCGTTTTAATAAGTGTCTAAGGCCCGTATGGCGTTAAAAACGACTTGTAAACATGTTCAATATTTTATTCTGCAAGCTGAGTCGTCGACAGCAGGCGGATACCCTAATTCAGTCCAACCAATAAATATCAGGGGCACTTCCTACGTGGACGTCTTTCAAACGATCACTAAATAAACGAGTCGGTCCTTACAAGCTTACGGCGAAAGAGCCCGATTCTTATTCAACTGCACATCTTTAATTCGAGGAGAGCCTCTTTAGAATTCTTTGGTTTCAGTTTTATCTCCCTCTTAACGTTTTTTATAGCTTAACAACGCGACCAAATGAAAGATAAAAAACCTATTACGAAGCCGGGGAGCCATTGTTTCGTTATTATTAATTTCATGTATAGCAACAACAATCAGCAATAAACAGATCAATAAAGCGCGGTAGTTTGATAAAACTGTCTGCCGAATCATCCATTTTCATTTAAAGTTTTCATTTATTTCCCGGGAAACGATCGCTGAAATTCGTGGTCATCCATAATTTTTTCTGCTAAATTACCGGATAAATCTGTTCTAATTCGTTAAGTCGATTAGCGTCAAATTATCCCAATTCCAACTTGCTCCGGACGAGAGGAAATTAAGGTGGAGTTCTACGGCGCTTTCGCACTTGCTGACACTAAAATGAGCTTTAAACACGCATAAGTCGGCAATTTGCCAATTATTATAAAAATACAACTCACTGAATCCGTTACTCTTTGTAAATATTCCATTCGCGATATTTTATAATTGTACAAAGCTTGACGAAGTTGCATTTCAAATAAACCCGTCTTTGTTTTTATCAAAGGAGACGATCCATAATTGACAAATATTGCAGGTAGGAATTATTTTTCGTCATGAAAGATCTCCGTTCAAAGTTCAACAAGACGCAATAAAAGTCAAGAACCGAACGAAATTTAATTTAAAACTCCAGGCAAGTTTGCACTTTAAAGAATGTAAAGTACATAAATTGCTCCTAGGAGAACAAATACTTACGTTTTATTATGAACTTTATGTATGTATCGTCCTAAATTCATCATTTACAAAGTTTTACTTATTTTACCGCGCTAACTTCCCTCTGAAGTTGGAAGTTGGAAGTTTCCAGTATCGGCCGCTAAAACTTCTCGCGGTTCTATTTTCTAGAATTACCGGAGAATATATCAGGTACTTGTTATTTTTAGCTTATTGAAAAAGTTTCCCAAAAACAAAAATCCCCGAAACACCGAAACCGGGCTTTAATAATGCGACTTTCGTAGGTTAACGAGGACCCAGAGCTGCTCCCCAACGTCACTCTAGTAATGCGATGGAACGACACTAGGGGGGAGACGGTGGCGGCAACTAAAGCTATGACCGACATGATTTGTGACGGCGTTTCTGCTTTTTTTGGTCCAGAAGGTACTTGTTATGTGGAAGCTATAGTCGCCCAGTCAAGAAATATTCCAATGATTAGTTATGTAAGTAGAGTACCGTCACCTTTTATCCACGAAAAAACATTAATTTTTCGTTAGAAATGTTCAGATTACAAAGCTTCGCAAGTACCGACTTTCGCCAGAACGGAACCACCCGACACGCAGGTGAGTCGTTACTCGTAATTAGATTCATTTCTCGGTCACATGTTTTCTATAAAATCGGAAATTAACACCATTCCATTGTTCGTCGCTGTTAAATATTTGTCTTTCCACTTACCGAACTTGGCTAAATCTAGATGATAAGTGGAGCTGCATAAAATCGTCATTTATGACACATAATTGTGGCGGCACAATAATACGTAGTGGAAGCGAGGAAAGATAAGCCTCCTCTGTAGTCTAATGGTGAGGGCACCCGCCCGGCAAGCGGTGGAGGAGCAATATTTTTCTTCGCTTACCTACATAATTAAAAAAATCGTGGTTTAAATTTTGGCTTAAACATGATCTTCCAGGTGACCAAGTCCGTCGTGTCGCTTCTAGAGTACTACAAGTGGAAAAAGTTTTCCATAATATATATATATATATTTTAATTTTTGGCTTGTTTTTTCTTACATATTTTTTATTTCTTGTATAGAAATAAAGATTTTGCAATTAAATTCCGCTCCTTTGGCTCTCGACGATTTAAAAAAAATTCGTCACAATTGAGATAGGGTGGGTGGACGGGGCTTATCTTTTGCCTTTTTTCTTAATATACATAGCCGTCTTTTCAGAACAAGAAACTGAAAACATGTCTAAAATGGTAAATTTTATCCGATACACTTCTCTACAAATTTACCCTTTTGAACATGTTTTCAGTTCTTGTCGTGAAAAGAAAAGTACGTACATATATTAAAGGAAAAAAAGACAAATACAAACCCCACCCACCCTCATTTAAATTGTGGTAATGTTTTTATTCGTTGTGAGCCGAAGGGCGGAGTTTATTGCAAAATGCTTATTTCTCTATAAGAACCTACTAGATTGAACATGTTTTTAAATACTATATATGTAGAGAAAAAAAAAAATAAGCCCCACCCACCCGTCCCAGTCTCAAATGTGATGAATTTTTCATTCATTATCCGACCGAGGGGCGGAACTTATCTGAAAAATCGATGTTTCCCGACAAAAATTTACTATTTTAAACGTTTTAAGTATAATGACCAAATTTAATTTTTGGTGATTCCAAAAACATTGTTGATTATTTCAAATCCAATTCTCATCTGAATGACTCGAGTTTAAGAATTCGATTATCGGACGTTTTAGATGAAATTTCTATACTGAAATGAGTAGGTAGTAAAATGGTATAGTTTTGGAAATTTCATTCTACTCTATAAAATTTAATTGGTAATAACGAGACGGACTGTAGTGCAATAGCAAGGGATAACAAATGGAAAATTTATCACGACGGATGGGTGGAGGTTATTTTTTGCATTTTTTCTTATTTTTAATACATATTGTTTTACTGTTTCAATTGCTCGATCTTTCAATTTTCGACTTTTCAGATTTCGATTTTCCGATTTTTAAATTGTGGACTTTCGATTTATGAATTTATCAATTTTTCGATTTCTTGACAACTCGGTTTTTCGATTTTCAAAATTTTTCGACTTGTAAATTTCTCCAATTTCCAAGTTTTGGATTTCTCATTTTTTCGGCATCTCAATTTTGAAAATTTTTCAATTTCCGAATTTTTTGATATTTCGATTACCCGATCTTTCCATTTTTTTGACGTTTCGATTGTTTAATCTCACGAGTCTTCACTTTTTCGATTTTCAATTTTTCGATTTATTGATTTTTCTATTTCTCAATTTTTCGAATTTTTTAAATTTTATATTTTCCAGTTTGTTGAGGTTTCAATTTAACGATCTTCAATTTTTCAACTTTTCGATTTCTCAATTTTTCATGTTTCAGTTTTTACTTTTTTTATTTTTCCAATCTTCAATTTTTTGATATCTCAGTTTTGGAATTTTTCAATACTTCAATTCTTCGATTTTTCGAGTTTTCAGATTTCGATTTTCCGATTTTTAAAATTTTTGATTTTTCGATTTTTCAGTTTTTACAATTTCTCGATTTTACAATTTTTCAATTGTTCGATTTCCCACCATATATTCCGATTTTTCAGTTTCTCGATTTTCCAATTTTCTGATTTTTTAAATTTTGGACTTTCGATTTATGAATTTTTTAATTTTTCGATTTCTTGACATCACGGTTTTTCGATTTTCAAAATTTTTCGACTTTCAAATTTCTTAAATCTCCAAGTTTTGGATTTCTCATTTTTCCGACATTTCAGTTTTGAAAATTTTTCAATTTCCGAATTTTTTGATATTTCGATTAGTCGATCTTTCTATTTTTTTGACGTTTCGATTGTTTAATCTCTCGATTCTTTACTTTTTCGATTTTCAGTTTTTCGATTTATTATTGTTTCTATTTCTTAATTTCTCCAATTTTTTAAATTAAAGATTTTCCAGTTTGTTGATGTTTCAATTTAATGATCTTTCAATTTTTCGACTTCTCGATTTCTCAATTTTTCATGTTTCAGTTTTGACTTTTTTTTATTTTTCCATTCTTCAATTTTTTGATATCTCAGTTTTGGAATTTTTCAATATTTCAATTCTTCAATTTTTCGACTTTTCAGATTTCGATTTTCCGATTTTTAAAATTTTTGATTTTTCGATTTTTCGGTTTTTACAATTCCTCGATTTTACAATTTTTCAATTGTTCGATTTCTCACCATATATTCCGATTTTTCAGTTTCTCGATTTTCCAATTTTCTGATTTTTTAAATTTTGGACTTTCGATTTATGAATTTTTTAATTTTTCGATTTCTTGACATCACGGTTTTTCGATTTTCAAAATTTTTCGACTTTCAAATTTCTCAAATCTCCAAGTTTTGGATTTCTCATTTTTCCGACATTTCAGTTTTGAAAATTTTTCAATTTCCGAATTTTTTGATATTTCGATTAGTCGATCTTTCTATTTTTTTGACGTTTCGATTGTTTAATCTCTCGATTCTTTACTTTTTCGATTTTCAGTTTTTCGATTTATTGTTGTTTCTATTTCTTAATTTCTCCAATTTTTTAAATTAAAGATTTTCCAGTTTGTTGATGTTTCAATTCAACGATCTTTCAATTTTTCGACTTCTCGAATTTTCAATTTTTCGATTTCTCAATTTTTTCATGTTTCAGTTTTGACTTTTTTTTTATTTTTCCATTCTTCAATTTTTTGATATCTCAGTTTTTGAATTATTCAATATCTCAATTCTTCAACTTTTCGATTTTTCATTTTTCAATTTATGGATTTTTTCAATTTTTCGATATTTTAATTTTTCAATTTTGTTTATTCGCCGTGAACCAAGGGGGCGGAGCTAAATGCAAAATACTTCTTAAAAGGCAAATATAAACCCCACCCACCCACCCCATCTCAATTGTGATGATTTTTTTATTATTAATTTTTCGCTTGTTTTTTTCTTACATACATAGTACTCTTTGAACACGATACTCAAAAACATATTTTTTATTTCTTGTAGAGAAATAAAGATTTTGCAATTAAATTCCGCTCCTTTGGCTCCCGACGATTAAAAAAAAATACATCACAATTGAAATAGGGTGGGTGGGCGGGGCTTATGTTTTGCCTTTTTTCTTAATATACGTAGTCGTCTTTTCAGAACAATTTTATCCTATACACTTCTCTACAAATTTACCCTTTTGAACATGTTTTCATTCCTTGTCGTGAAAAGAAAAGTACGTACATATGTTAAGGAAAAAAGGGCAAAATACAAACCCCGCCCACCCGCCCTCATTTAAATTGTGCTAATATTTTTATTCGTTGTGATCCGAAGGGCGGAGTTTATTGCAAAATGCTTATTTCTCTACAAGAAACTACTATATTGAACATGTTTTTAAATACTACATATGTTGAGCGGAAAAAAAAACAAGAAATAAGCCCCACCCACCCGGCCCAATCTCAATTGTGATGAATTTTTCATTCGTTATCAGACCGAGGGGCGGAACTCAACTGTAAAATCGATGTTTCCCGACAAAAATTTAGTACTTTAAACATTTTAAATATAATGAGATGCCGATTTAATTTATCTTTACCATATACAATTCTCATCTGAATGACTCGGGTTTAAGGATTCGATTATCGGACGTTTTAGATGAAATTTCTGTACTGAAATCAGTGGAAAGTAAAATCGTATAGTTTTGGAAATTTCAGAGATATTTACAACTTAAACTTGTCGCGTGCCGGTAATCCCCAGATGGTAGAAAGCAGAATAATCCAGGTCCGGACAGGGCCCATCGTTACTCTATCTGTTAAATGTTTTTATAGGATAGAATGAAATTCCCAAAACTATACGTTCCACCTCACTTTTTTTTCATCTATTTAAGCTTTTTTCACCTGTTTTTAACCTATTTTAAGGTGCTTTATCATGTTTTAAGCAAACAGGCCAGTTTTAAAGTTGAAGCCTTTTAATGCTTTTTTATAAAATAAAAAAAATCAATTTTGTCGTGAAGTTTTTTTTTATGGATTTTTTTAACATTCACCCCATTTTTAAGATAATTTTTTAAAAAGTTGTAGACTTCTAGAGATTTTGCCAAAATCAGTCTTATCTTAGCAACTATTATTATTTTGGCTTAAAAATGATCTTCCAGGTGACCAAGTCCGTCGTGTCGCTTCTAGAGTACTACAAGTGGAAAAAGTTTTCCATAATATACGAGGAGGCTTGGCAGACTGTGGCCCAGTCCCTCGTCGACGAAGCCGAGAACAAAAACATGACCATCAACGACCAGGAAAAGGCCAAGGATGGCTACAAATGTTGTTCCGAAACGTTGCCTTGTTGTGGAAGCGGCTATTGGTATCAGTTTATCCAAAACACAAAAAATCGTACTAGAAGTAAGTGTGAACGTAGCGCAAACCCAGTTCTAGCTAATTTTTCGCAGTTTATGTTTTTCTGGGGAGTTTGACTTCCTTGTTGGATCTCATGATCACCATGCAAACGGCTCAGTTGTTCGAATACGGCGAATACATAGTAATTTACGTGGACACCAACACGTACTCGGAAAAAGACGCACACCAGTACCTCTGGAGTAAGTTCTTGAGTCGATGTATTGATAGTAAAATATATTAAGAGTAATTCCAGAGCCGGAAGTTTTTGCAAAGTACGACAGTTGTGACAAAAATGACTACAATGGGTTGATCAAACGAGGGAGATCTTTGTTCGTGGTAGTACCCACTGCACCCACAGTGAAGTACGCCGAATTCACGAAGGACGTCAACGCGTACAACTCCAAAGAACCGTTCAACTTTGAAACATCAAAAATACTTTTATCCAAGTCGTTCGAAAAAGTAGGTACTTTTAACCCTCAAACACACACGTTTATTGTTTTTTGTAGTACGTATCCATCTACGCTGCATACTTATACGACTCCGTCATGCTATACGCAAAAGCTTTGGACGAACTGTTAAAGAATCAGACAAAGTTAACCGACGACATTATAGACCAAATTGCCAGCAATGGTACCCAAATCGTGGAAACACTCATCAACAGGACGTACACAAGTATCACCGGTGCTACCATGAAGCTCGACAAAAACGGCGACTCCGAAGGCAACTTCTCGGTCCTGGCTCTCCAACGCGTCAGCAACCACCACGTCCACGGCAACTTCTCCTGCGCCTTCCAAATGCGCCCCGTCGGCCAATTCTTCTACCAGTCGGAAGATTTTCCAGTGAGTGAGTTTGCATTTTCTATTATCCCTCACCTAGAGACCCCCCGACCCTAACCCGCGCGTCTCTCCAGGAGTACAAGATCTACACCAACACCCAAATCGTGTGGGCCGGCTCCGACAAACCCAACGATGAACCCAGCTGCGGGTTCCTCAACGAGCTTTGCCCCAAACCCAACACCCACCTCAACAGCATCATCGCGGCCGGAGTCCTCGCTATTCTCCTCTTCTGCGCCGGCGTCATCACCATGAGCATCTACCGCAAGTGGAAAATCGAGCAAGAAATCGAGGGCTTGCTGTGGAAAATCGACCGCAACGAAATCCACAGCTACTTCGAACGGGATGTAGTTTCTAGTCCTAGTCGGGTAAGTCCAACACTGGTTGGACTTACCCGACAAAGCTAATATTTGTGGGTTCGCAGCTTAGTTTAGTTAGTGCAAGCGTCACTTCGTACGAGTCCAGGGGTGGCTTGCAAGTTTTTGCCACGACGGCGCAGTACAGGGGCGTCGTGGTGCGGATTAAGGAGTTGACCTTCTCGCGGAAGAAGGATATTTCGAGGGACGTGATGAAGGAGATGAGGTTGTTGCGGGAGCTGCGCCACGATAACATCAACTCGTTCATTGGGGCTTGCGTCGAACCTACTTCTTTGCTACTAGTCACTGATTATTGTGCCAAAGGAAGCCTATATGTAAGTGGATTGTGTGTGTCGGGTGGTTACTTACCGTTGGTTGCAGGATATTATAGAAAACGAAGATATTAAATTGGACAAGATGTTCATCGCGTCGCTGGTTCATGATCTCATTAAGGTGGGTTTTGTCACCAAGAAACGTCTCGTTTTCATATAATTTAATTCAGGGCATGCTGTATATCCACAATTCCATGCTTGTATGTCACGGTAACTTAAAATCGTCGAACTGCGTCGTGACTAGTCGCTGGGTTCTGCAAGTGACCGATTTCGGGCTGGCGGAGATGAGGCACTGCGCCGAGAACGACAGCATCGGCGAGCACCAGTATTACAGGAGTAATTTTGAGTAGGTGCCCGGAAATTAATAATGACGCGTCTATTGTAGGTCTGTTTTGGAAGGCGCCCGAGATTCTGAGGAGCCCTAGCGCCTACTCCCGAGGGACCCAAAAGGGAGACGTGTATGCTTTTGCCATAATTTTGTACGAAATTTTAGGGAGAAGAGGACCATTCGGTACCACAGGTTACGAACCAAAAGGTAGTGGAAAGAGTGCGACACGCCAGACGAACTAAACTAGGTGATGTTTCAGAAATCATAGATAGGGTGAAGCGGGAACCGTTGGACGGAGAGGAATGTTTTAGACCTGATATAGGTCTTTTACTCGACTGTGAAATCGGCTGTGATGATTACGTTATACAATGCATGAAAGATTGTTGGACTGAGAATCCGGAGTGTAGGCCGGACTTTGCCACGATTAGGAGTAGATTGAAGAGGATGAAGGACGGAAAGTACGACCCGGAACTGGGTTATCCACCCTAGTACTAACACTCACTCCAATTTCAGGAGCAAGAACATCATGGACCAGATGATGGACATGATGGTGACCTACGCCAACAACTTGGAGGAAATCGTAACGGAAAGAACCCGACTCTTGTACGAAGAGAAGATGAAAACGGAAGATTTGCTGCACCGGATGTTGCCTAAACCGGTAGCCGAGCGACTGACCAGCGGTTTCGGAGTGGAACCCGAATCTTTCGACTCCGTCACGATTTACTTCAGCGACATCGTCGGTTTTACTGCGATGTCCGCTGAAAGCACGCCACTACAAGTAGTCAATTTCTTAAATGATCTCTACACAGTATTCGACAGGATCATTAAGGGTTACGACGTCTACAAAGTGGAAACGATAGGTGACGCCTACATGGTGGTGTCCGGCTTGCCTCTCCGTAACGAAGACAAACACGCGGGAGTAATTGCCTCCATGTCCTTGGATTTGTTAGCCGCTGTGAAGAATCATTCCATATCGCACCGACCCAACGAGATCCTGAAACTCCGAATCGGGATTCACACAGGTTTGTGTTTGTCGTTGTTGACTGGTTTTGATTTTGGTGTTGTAGGACCCGTGGTGGCCGGAGTCGTGGGGTTAACCATGCCACGTTATTGCCTCTTCGGCGACACGGTTAACACCGCGTCCCGGATGGAGAGCAACGGCGAACCCTTGAAAATACATATCAGTTTGCCGTGCAAGGAAGCGCTGGATAAACTCGGGGGTTACGTGGTGGAAGACCGGGGTTTGGTTAACATGAAAGGGAAAGGCGAGGTGTTGACGTTTTGGTTGACCGGGGCGACTGAAAAAGCCATCCAGAGGCGCGAAGTCGACCTAGGGGACATTCCTCCGTTGTTTTGCAGACCCCGCAGAAGTCCAAAGTTAAATAACGATTCCAGACAGGCGTCTGTTTGCGGTGGCTTCGGACTCGGGGGGATGAACAGCCGGCGCCACTCCAGCGTCCCCAGAGGTATACCCCCCGTTCCTACTTTATTTACTTTGGCGTTTTGGTGTCGCTTTCCATCTTTTAGTTGTTTTATTTTACTTTGGTTGGTGGTGGAGCAAGGGGGCCGAGTTACGCACTATTCACACCTAACTCGACTCTCTTAATTCTGTTACTTTTCTTGGGTTAGTAGCGTAGTCTGTGTAAAACCTGTCGCAAACGTCGGATTTTTGTCGCTAGGTACGAGTATCGAAGTGGAAAGCACATCTACTCTCCAGAACGCGAGCCCGGTCCCTTTGCGCCACCTCAAAGTAAACCGTCATAACTTACATGTTCCAGAGCAGGGCTCCAAGCTGACTATTAACACGGCATTCGGGAGCCAAATAATCGAGAACTTTGACGAGTCACGTAGGGGTTTGCGACCGCGCCGCGTGTTATCCAGCATCGCCTCGAGCTCCGACGAGCAGAAAAAGAGCCAGAATATGCTTAACAAAATTCGCGAGTCGAAGAGCTTGGACCCGCTGCCGCTGATCAGGAACAAGCCCGAGCTCATGGTAGACGGGGCGCCGCTCGAAGTGCGAAAGAGGTCGACGAGATCGTTGGAAAACTGTGATAAATGCGGTGAAATACAAATCATCGCGATACCGGATGATAAGCTAATTAATAATAATTTTCCGAACGGGAATATTATGCCTATTCCGCCTGAAGAACTTAATTACATAGAGGACGTGCAGGTTCCGCTGCTCAACGCGACGCAGCATCCGGCGGTGCGAAGGAGGGGCGGCAGCACGATCGACGACACGCTGCAGAATAACACTTCCAAGAGGTAGGTCGAACCCTGGAGAAAACGCACGACCGATTCATGTGATTGCAGGTGGCACTCGTTGGAATCGCTCCCCGCGACGTGTGACCCAGTGACTGACGTGCAGAACAAGAAGAAGACGTCGCTGAAGAGCTGGTTCGTGGGGCTGTTCAACGGGAACGGCCTAAAGGCGAGTAACACGTCTCTGAGGAAGGGCGTGATCAACGAGTATAATAACTTAACAGAGAAAGAAAGTATTGTATAAAACAGTACATAGATTGTAGTGTTTTTGTTGGTATAACTCGGTGTAGACCCGAAATGAGCGAACCTAGTCGAATTTATTATTAAAAATAAATGAAACATTTACGTACGCAAACACTTTTAATAGTTTATTGATGCCGCAGCCGCGGTGCAAACTTCGTAAGGATCTGGATATTTTTTGCACCGGCGCGATGCGGGATATAAAGATTTATATTTTTTGATGAAAGACGACTTACTTGGTATATTTTCTATGCCCTTTTTGTGAGTATACTGAAATGCATTTATTCTACCTATCGTGATCTATGTAACTGAAAGGTGCAATTACGATTTTTGCCATATTAAAGTTATTAAGTTTTAGTTAAGTCTCCCATTGTTTTTATTTTGTAATTGTATCTTTCAAAAAAAAAAGGTAAGTTGTACAACTTATAGAAACCGTAATTGTCAAATTAATTCTCTTAGTGTCGTCGTAACTTGAATTGATTAGAATTAAATTTATGTGATAGCATAAAGAAGTAAAAGAAACAAAATTATATTAGTTTTATCAAACAAGGAAAGAGTACACAATTTTAAGTATGTGAGATATAGTTTTAAGAAATGTTTTATATGTAAACATCTGTTACCATTTTTGCAAATTATACTAAGTGTATGTAAATTCACGATTAAACAAGTTCTTTAAGAAACCATTGTGATTATATTTTTATAAAATGTTTAATTTTACTGCTGCCTAAGTGTTGAAAAGTATAGTCGACGTTTCGTATTACTTCTGTGAATAGAAATCGCTAGATAATTACGACAGCATTTAAATGTGAACCAATTTGCATAATCTGACTGTTTTTCTCTCCGTTAGTAAATAAATCAAGAATGGTACAAGTCAGACTTTTTGTGTTAGAGGCTGTGAATATTATCTTCATGTGTAAATATAAATAATGTAAGGATCATATCTTTGCACTATAGAATTTATATGTGCCATTAACTTATAAAGTTTGTGTATATGAGGTACCTAAATCTTATGTAAATAGAGTGTTACTGTAGGTATTGTTTGATAATATACTTATTTATTTATTAACCAACTCTTTAATTTCGACTTAACACGGCTTATCGGCGAATAACGACTGCAGCTCGCAGTGGTTCGGCGGGCACCTAGGTGCCTTAGGATTGGGGTCACACGGGTCACAAATCGGCTTCGGCTGCATCACCCCGTCCACCATCCTCATAGGCCGTCCACCCACAAACTCCCCCTTCTTTATATCCTCCGCCAGAAGCGGAATCGCGTTCTCTAGGAGACACTCCTCGTAGTCCGACAACGTCGGCACCCCGAAATTTTTCACCACACCACCTGGACCCAACACCAGCGGCGTCACCATGTACTTCAATTGCGGATGAACATTAGACTTCACAAACGCACACTCGACGACGTCGCAGTGCCCTTTAGCCGCTTTCACCAAAGCTAAAACGAACCTCGCGGTAGAGAAACCGTAAGACAAATAAGCGCCATCTGAGCGGATTTTCATTAAGTTGTCATCAGCCTGTCGCACACTATTAGTTATGTCTTCCAGTTCTTTCTATAAAGTTGGGTTAAAACTCGCTTAGTACGAATGACTGTGTTTACGTTTGTGAGTTCGTTGCAAGGAGCAGCCTTTGATAACACAGGTACTATGGTTTTCTCGCTGTGGCCGCCTATCACGGGTACTGTGACACACTCAGGGTCGAGTCCGAGAACCTCAGCTACGAATCTGTTCGTTCTAACGACATCTATAGTAGTCACTCCGAAAATGGTACACGGGTTGTAGTTCCCGTGTTTTTTCATGACTTCGCTAAACATTGGCACCATGCTATTAATGGGTTCGGCACCAATGGCTATAAGAGACTGTCTTTAAGTTAGTAAAGTGACTTAGTGAATGGGTTACTTTAGGGGCATATTTGGAGATGTGACCGGCCAGATCTTTGACTATTGGGGCATTTTTGTCAAACAGGTTGCTGTAGGTGAAGCTGTCCGAGTGTTGGCAACAGGCAAAAACGACGACGACGGTGGCTTTCTAAACAAAAGGGTTTAAAACGAAGATTGAGTGAACGAGGGGCTTACGGAAAGAGCGTGCTGGATATCTTTAGGGCCTAAGTACGAAGTGACTTTGCATTTGGTGTCGATGTAATTCAAATCTGCTGCAAAGCCCTCCAGTGACTTGGTATCATACAGGCAAACTTCGTCGATTAAAGGGGTTTGTTTTAACATTAAAGCCACTGATTTTGCTACGTTTCCTGGAAGATAGGGTTGGAAATTTGGTACGACTGAGGGGTTGTGTTACCTCCACCACCAAGAATTGTGACTTTCATAGTACTAGCACTGCTGCTAAATCGGACCCCGGTTTTTACATGGTTTGTGTGTGTGTTGGAAAAGAGTGAGCGATTTGTCGCCCGACTGTACCAAATGGGAGCTTGTGAGTTACGTACAATTAATTTCAGAAATTTGTTCATTGTAATTTGTCACTTCTTCAATTTAAAATATATTTTGAAAATCTTAAAGACGGGTGTCAAAATTTGTGTGACGGCTATGTCGTTGCTATTGACGCCTTCTTTATAGTACTCCTAGTTCAGCGTCTTAATTTTTTAATTACCTTGACGAAAACCGACCAAACAATAGGTCGCCCGTTTCCGTCTATCTATCTGTCTACCGTCTGTCCGGATTTTTATTAAACAGATAATCTCCGAAACTACTGAACCAGTTGTTACAGTTTATAAGTGTGAAGGTAAGCGAAGAAAAGTGTTATTGCCTTGGTGGGAATCGAACCCCACGCCTCCCGCTTGCCACTTATCTTTCTCCGCTTGCCGACGTGTAATTGTGTCGCCACAGTACTCTCTTTAAAATACGATCCATTTTGGCAAATTATATACTCGCCAAGAAAACAGAGGGTGGGTGGGCGGGGCTAGTACCTGGCTAGATAAATGATTATGTCAAGTTCATCCAGCAAGAAAACACCAAATTTATCTGAAAATTAAACACCAAAGGACATCCCGCCTTAAAATGGAAATATTTGAATATCGCAAATTTAATAAAACAAAGAAAAATCTGAATTGAAGTAACTGTGGCGGCAAATTTAAATTGTGGCAGTCAACAAGAGAACAAACCCATAGGGGGAGTTGTAGCACGAAAGGAGTTTGGGGCTCCTGGTCGTGGCTGTTCTCCTACCCACGACGGTGATTCTATCTATCGCAAGCACTGCCGCCCAGCACGAAGAACATGCCTAGACGAGCAGGCCGTTACGGTTGCAAAGTCGCAGTTGGGTCTCGACTATTGTGCTTTGTGCAGATGGCGCGATAAAGCCGGCAATCTCGACCAGGAACCGCGCCCTCCGCTTCTGCCACGTATTTCGGTGTTATTTACCTCAGTTCCATTTTAAATGTTTAATTTCTGTGACTCTGATATTAAACTATAACTGAACAAGTGTCAAAATTTCAAAAAGAGCAATATACAACATTTAAATTCGCCATACACTCTCGTGAAATTTTAAACAACAAATAATTCTTATCTGAGATTTAAATTGGACATCAGATAATTTTATGATGCAAGCATTGATCAACAAAATATTTACAAAACAAAAACGAGCAAAGATTAATTCTACGGTCCTTTTCCACAGTGAGGCAACATTAGGTTAATTTAATTGCTGTAAATGAACTATTAGCAATCGTGTAAACAAAGGTGAATTTCATGAAATCTCCTAGCAAGTATTTATCTAAGCAAATTCCTGATTGTTAATTGTGTTAGAACTAGTTGACGATTAAACTCTTAACATGAACTGTGAATTTACAAACAATGAATCAAATTTACACGTGTTAGCGTTGGGGAAACTGTGGCGTGCCTTTTATTAACCACTAGCCAACTAACTTAACCCATCTCCAGCTAACTTATCGCGTCTTTTCACCATGCTCTCACACACATAGAAACAAACCAACAATGACGCTTTCACCTCCCTCCACCAAGCAGCCGTCTTATCCCTACCAACCCTCTAACTAAAATTCCCTAGCCAGCTACCAACTATCCAAAAAGCGTTAACGTGCACATGGTTGCCTATGTTTAACGATTTTTTTTAATTGATTTTTTTTTCAAATTCAAATTATTCAAATGTGCTTTCGCGCCGCTGTTAATTAATTTCAGCGCTAATGCTATGTGGACAAATACTTTTTTACTTTCATTGAATGTATTTTTGTATTTATTTCCGTCACACAATTTCATCTATTAATTGGTAGTAACAACATGTTTTATATCTTCATATTTAACTCATCAATCAAATTGTGTCCCCCATTTCTGAAGGTTACGAGCCGCTGCTGACTCCTCCATGTGTGATTTATGAATCCGTAGTAGTTGCTAACAATATTTTATTACTCCAACTTACTCTATTTTTTGTTTTCTTTCTTTCGATATGTCTGTGTGCCTCTTAAAACAGTGAAAATAGCAAAAACCTATTAACTTTAAACTTTTTTTGGAAATTTGAAAATGTAAAATTCTTTTCCGATTTTTCAATATCTCGATTTTACGATTTTTCGATTTCTCAACATCTCGATTATTCGATTTTTAAAATTTTTAGATTTCGATTTTCAGATTTTTGGATTTTTCAGCTTTTCATTTTCTCAATTTTTCAACATTTTAGTTTAGGAATTTTTCAATTTTTGGATACTCTAGTTTTATGATTTTTTGATTGACGATTCGATTTTTAAATTTTCTTGTTTTTCAATTTTTAGATTCCTTAATTTTTTAATACTTCAAGTTTGTGAATATTCCAATTTCTGCATTTTTCAATTTGTGGATATTTTAATTTTTCGATTTTTTGATGTTTAATTTTTCGATTTTTAAAATTTTTTAACTTCTCAAGCTGGTAAGATAAGATTGATTTTGGCAAATGATGTACCTTCCAAGAAGACTGAGGGTGGGTGGGCGGGGCTAGTACTTGCTAAGATAACACTGAACAATACTAACCGTGGTCACCAGAATGAAAAGGAGGCGGGTGGGCGGGGCTACCACTTGCCATAAGACTCAGTTTTTTAATTTATCCATGTTTCAATTTCTGGATTTCTCGGTTTTTGGATTTTTCGATTTTTCGACTATTCGATAATTTCATTATTTTTGCAAGTTATTAAATTTTCGTTTTTCGGTTTTTCGAATTTTCGATTCTCGAGTGTTTCGTTTTTTAAATTTTTCTATTTTTCAAGTTTTCGATTCCTCAATTTTAGGAACCTTTCAATTTCTGCATTTTCCAATTTTTGGATATTTCAATTTTTCGATTTTTAAATTTTTTTGATTTCTCAAGCTGGTAAGATAAAACTGATTTTGGCAAAAGACATACCTTCTGAAGAGCTAGAGGGTGGGTGGGCGGGGCTAGTACTTGCTAGGATAAAACTGAACAATACTAAGAGGAGTCACTAGAATGAAAAGGAGGCGGGTGGGCGGGGCTACTGCATGCTTATAAGACTCAGTTTTTGAATTTTTCCAGGTCTCAGTCTATTCGATGATTTTTTCATTTTTGCAAGTTTTTTTAATTTTCGATTTTCCAATTTTTGGATATTTTAATTTTTCGATATTTCAACTTTTCGATTTTTTAAATTTTTTGATTTCTCAAGCTGGTAAGATAAAACTGATTTTGGCTAATGACATACCTTCTAAGAAAAGAGAGGGTGGGTGGGCGGGGCTAGTACTTGCTAAGATAAGACTGAACAATACTAAGAGTAGTCACTAGAATGAAAAGGAGGCGGGTGGGCGGGGCTACTGCTTGCTTATAAGAATCAGTCTTTGAATTTTTCCACGTCTCAGACCATTCGATGATTTTTTCATTTTTGCAAGTTTTTAACTTTCGATTTTCGAGTTTTTCGATTTTTAAAATTTTCTATTTTTCAAGTTTTCGATTCCTCAATTATTATTTTAGGAACTTTTCAATTTCTACATTTTCCAATTTTTAGATATTTTAATTTTTCGATATTTCAATTTTTCGATTTTTAAAATTTTTTGATTTCTCAAGCTGCTGAGATAAGACTGATTTTGGCAAATGACATCCCTTCTAAGAAAAGAGAGGGTGGGTGGGCGGGGCTAATAACAGTCAAGATAAGACTGATCTTGGCAAATAACATACTTTCTAAGAAAAGAGCGGGCGGGTGGGTGGGCCTAGTACTTGCTAAGATAAGACTGAACAATACTAAGAGTAGTCATTAGAATAAAAAGGAGGCGGGTGGGCGGGGCTACTGCTTGCTTATAAGACAGTTTTTGAATTTTTCCAGGTCTCACTTCATTCGATGATTTTTTTTTCATTTTTGCAAGTTTTTTAATTTTCGATTTTCCGGTATTTCGATTTTTAAAGTTTTCTATTTTTCAAGCTTTCGATTCCTCAATTATTTTAGGAACTTCTCAATTTCTGCATTTTCCAATTTTTAGATATTTTAATTTTTCGATATTTCAATTTTTCGATTTTTAAAATTCTTTGACTTCTCTAGCTGCTGATATAAGACCGATTTTGGCAAATGATATACCCTCTAAGAAAAGAGAGGGTGGGTGGGCGGGGCTAATAACTGTCAAGATAAGACTGATTTTGGCAAATAACATACTTTCTAAGAAAAGAGCGGGCGGGTGGGTGGGCCTACTACTTGCTAAGATAAGACTGAACAATACTAAGAGTAGTCATTAGAATAAAAAGGAGGCGGGTGGGCGGGGCTACTGCTTGCTTATAAGACACAGTTTTTGAATTTTTCCAGGTCTCAGTCCATTCGATGATTTTTTTTTCATTTTTGCAAGTTTTTTAATTCTCGATTTTCCGATATTTCGATTTTTAAATTTTTCTATTTCCAAGTTTTCGATTCCTCAATTATTTTAGGAACTTTTCAATTTCTGCATTTTCCAATTTTTAGATATTTTAATTTTTCGATATTTCAATTTATCGATTTTAAAAATTTTTTGATTTCTCAAGCTGCTGAGATAAGACTGATTTTGGCAAATGACATACCCTCTAAGAAAAGAGAGGGTGGGTGGCCGGGGCTAATAACTGTCAAGATAAGACTGATTTTGGCAAATAACATACTTTATAAGAAAAGAGCGGGCGGGTGGGTGGGCCTAGTACTTGGTAAGATAAGATTGAACAATATTAAGAGTAGTCATTAGAATAAAAAGGAGGCGGGTGGGCGGGGCGACTGCTTGCTTATAAGACACAGTTTTTGAATTTTTCCAGGTCTCAGTCCATTCGATGATTTTTTTTTTTCATTTTTGCAAGTGTTTTTTTATTTTCGATTTTCCGGTATTTCGATTTTTAAATTTTTCTATTTTTCAAGTTTTCGATTCCTCAATTATTTTAGGAACTTTTCAATTTCTACATTTTCCAATTTTTAGATATTTCAATTTTTCGATTTTTAAAATTTTTTAATTTCTCAAGCTGCTGAGATAAGACTGATTTTGGCAAACGACATCCTCTAAGAAAAGAGAGGGTGAGTGGGCGGGGCTAATAACTGTCAAGATAAGACTGATTTTGGCAAATAACATACTTTCTAAGAAAAGAGCGGGCGGGTGGGTGGGCCTACTACTTGCTAAGATAAGACTGAACAATACTAAGAGTAGTCATTAGAATAAAAAGGAGGCGGGTGGGCGGGGCTACTGCTTGCTTATAAGACACAGTTTTTGAATTTTTCCAGGTCTCAGTCCATTCGATGATTTTTTTTTCATTTTTGCAAGTTTTTTAATTCTCGATTTTCCGATATTTCGATTTTTAAATTTTTCTATTTCCAAGTTTTCGATTCCTCAATTATTTTAGGAACTTTTCAATTTCTGCATTTTCCAATTTTTAGATATTTTAATTTTTCGATATTTCAATTTATCGATTTTAAAAATTTTTTGATTTCTCAAGCTGCTGAGATAAGACTGATTTTGGCAAATGACATACCCTCTAAGAAAAGAGAGGGTGGGTGGCCGGGGCTAATAACTGTCAAGATAAGACTGATTTTGGCAAATAACATACTTTATAAGAAAAGAGCGGGCGGGTGGGTGGGCCTAGTACTTGGTAAGATAAGATTGAACAATATTAAGAGTAGTCATTAGAATAAAAAGGAGGCGGGTGGGCGGGGCGACTGCTTGCTTATAAGACACAGTTTTTGAATTTTTCCAGGTCTCAGTCCATTCGATGATTTTTTTTTTTCATTTTTGCAAGTGTTTTTTTATTTTCGATTTTCCGGTATTTCGATTTTTAAATTTTTCTATTTTTCAAGTTTTCGATTCCTCAATTATTTTAGGAACTTTTCAATTTCTACATTTTCCAATTTTTAGATATTTCAATTTTTCGATTTTTAAAATTTTTTAATTTCTCAAGCTGCTGAGATAAGACTGATTTTGGCAAACGACATCCTCTAAGAAAAGAGAGGGTGAGTGGGCGGGGCTAATAACTGTCAAGATAAGACTGATTTTGGCAAATAACATACTTTCTAAGAAAAGAGCGGGCGGGTGGGTGGGCCTAGTACTTGCTAGGATAAGACTGAACAATATTAAGCGTAGTCATTAGAATAAAAAGGACGCGGGTGGGCGGGCGACTGCTTGCTTATAAGACACAGTTTTTGAATTTTTCCAGGTCTCAGTCCATTCGATGATTTTTTTTTTCATTTTTGCAAGTGTTTTTTTATTTTCGATTTTCCGGTAATTCGATTTTTAAATTTTTCTATTTTTCAAGTTTTCGATTCCTCAACTATTTTAGGAACTTTTCAATTTCTGCATTTTCCAATTTCTAGATATTTCAATTTTTCGATTTTTAAAATTTTTTAATTTTTCAAGCTGCTGAGATAAGACTGATTTTGGCAAATGACATATCCTCTAAGAAAAGAGAGGGTGGGTGGGCGGGGCTAATAACTGTCAAGATAAGACTGATTTTGGCAAATAACATACTTTCTAAGAAAAGAGCGGGCGGGTGGGTGGGCTTAGTAATTGCTTTGTTAAAACTGAACAATACTAAGAGTAGTCATTGGAATAGAAAGGAGGCGGGTGGGCGGGGCTACTGCTTGCTTATAAGACACAGTTTTTGAATTTTTCCAGGTCTCAGTCCATTCGATGATTTTTTTTTCATTTTTGCAAGTTTTTTAATTTTCGATTTTCCGGTATTTCGATTTTTAAATTTTTCTATTTTTCAAATTTTCGATTCCTCAATTATTGTAGGAACTTTTCAATTTCTGCATTTTCCAATTTTTAGATATTTTAATTTTTCGATATTTCAATTTTTCGATTTTTTAAATTTTTTGATTTCTCAAGCTGCTGAGATAAGACTGATTTTGGCAAATGACATACCCTCTAAAAAACAGAGGGTGGGTGGGCGGGGCTAATAACTGTCAAGATAAGACTGATTTTGGCAAATAACATACTTTCTAAGAAAAGAGCGGGCGGGTGGGTGGGCCTAGTACTTACTAAGATAAAACTGAACAATACTAAGAGTAGTCATTGGAATAGAAAGGAGGCGGGTGGGCGGGGCTACTGCTTGCTTATAAGACACAGTTTTTGAATTTTTCGAGGTCTCAGTTCATTCGATGATTTTTTTTTTTTCATTTTTGCAAGTTTTTTAATTTTCGATTTTCCGGTATTTCGATTTTTAAATTTTTCTATTTTTCAAGTTTTCAATTCCTCAATTATTTTAGGAACTTTTCAATTTCTGCATTTTCCATTTTTTTGGATATTTTAATTTTTCGATATTTCAACTTGTCGATTTTTAAAATTTTTTAATTTCTGAAGCTGCTGAGATAAGACTGATTTTGGCAAATGACATCCCTTTTAAGAAAAGAGCGGGCGTGTGGGTGGGCCTAGTACTTGCTAAGATAAGACTGAGCAATATTAAGAGTAGTCACTAGAATGAAGAGGGGGTGGGTGGGCGTGGCTACTGTAGAAAAAAGCTAAATTGAGCCCCGCCCACTTCCTTTCCCCATTTCACTGACTTGTATTATTTACTGTAAAATGGGAACTGAATTCCATTTTGATAAGCGGTAGAATGTAAGATTTAAAACAAAGTCAAAATTGGCCCCGCCCACCCACCCCTATTTCATTTGGATCACTCATTTTTATTGGCTCTGAGACAAAAGCGAATTTTCTATTCCCAAAAAACAGAACCTAGGATTACATTTTTTTTTAACAATGTACTTAGTATGCAGATTTTTTGAAAAAAATCAACATTGTATCGAATTCGATAAACATAAACAATCGAAGTTAAGCATATACATACTAAGAAATTGAAATTGTCCACATTTTTCCCGTTCGTTATCTGCTTTAAATATATTTCATATTTAAAGACGTAGGGGTTGCGGGGATGTTAATTACGGCACTTCATAGAGGTTAACAATTATCACAAAACGAAAATCGCAGAATCTAATTTTATAATAAAAAAAAATAAAATAAAATTTTCCAGTGTTTAGGAATATCTGATATACTCCACAGTGAATTCAATCAAGAATGAGTACTTTTCTTACTTCCAATACACCACTTTAGTTAACTCCACGCTCCAATTTCCTAAGAACTTGACACCAGTTCCCCATTGTTTGACTCTCTCCTGAATTTTTCTCTGGAACTGGTTCAATCCACAACTTTGTCTACAATCAACTCTAGCACTGCCTCTGGTTAACAATACCACTACTTACTGCGGTTGCGGCTGAATTTGTACCCATAACCCAAAACTCGACAAAAACCCCCAAAATTCAAGGTTAATGTCTCCATAATTAAAAATAATTAATGATTGTTGCAATGTTGTTGTTTTCACACCACAAATTCAAACTTTTTACTTTTCGTAGGACACGCAACACACAATTCACTGCCGCCATTCGAACATGTGACTCAATGCTGCCAACCTAAAAATTCGCACATAAAAAATTGTATTATTTATTGTAAAAAATTTCAAAAAAAATTGCATCTGCCAAGTTCTGCTCTCCCAATTATCCTTCGTTCGGTTTTTGCGTTTTTCCTAAAATTCCGTGTGACTCACTTAGTTTGTGTGTTTTCGTTGTGTTTGAGAGTGACGCATTAGGCGATCACGTCCTGGTGTTATCCCCGTTCTCGTCCTTTCTTTGGTTGGCCATTACAGTAACATTTAGGTTAAGTTGTAAAGAGTGAAGAATTTAAAACTTATTTCCAATCTTACTTACCCCAGTAAAATATTCCTTACTATAATATTATGGCAGATGCTAAAAAAGTGAGTATGGGAAGCAATCCAAAAGTACGTTTTCTTCCAAGGTAGTGGTAGTTTTACACTCAGCATGTTTTCCTGTCAACCTTTCCTTCCCAGAATCATTTGACAAAACTCACAAAATTCCCGTAAAATAATGCCATCTTCACACAGCACTATTGAGGGTTGGGAAAACGAACCACATTACCAAGAGGTCTGACAGCCTGTCAACCATCACTCACCCTAACCGTTTTTCCAGGTACTAGAATACAAAGACAGTTTGAAAAAAGAGGCCGAAGAGTTACTTCTCAAAGGATTCCCAGCGACCATAGTTAAGTTGAACGCCCTTCTAGAAACTCCACAGTTTAAAAACAGACGATTTGCTGATGTCCACCAAGACTTGAACATCCCGATTCCTGACCCCATCGTGCTCAACAGCCACACTGACTTACCTCCTGCAAAGAAGGCCAAATATGACAATAGCATATCCCAAGATGGAACGAAGGTGATGATCCTGCCAAGCGGGTCAGTGCCGACTAATAAACATTTAGTGGAACTCGTTGAAGCCGTTAAACCTCACATTCGAAAGCTCGTAGAAGATTCCAACACCGTGAGCTTAGTCAAGTAGCGTCTAAATCCGAAATAATCGTTTTTTTTTTTCAGATGAAAATGTGGATATCGTTCATGATTCCGAAAATCGAAGACGGCAACAACTTCGGCGTTTCCATTCAGGAGGACACGCTGGCCGAGGTGCAGTCGGTGGAGTCGGAAGCGGCGGCCTTTTTTGACCAAATTTCTCGATACTTTATTTCACGGGCTAAAGTAATTTCGAAAGTTGCTAAGTATCCTCATATAGAAGACTACAGGAGAGCTGTGCAAGAGCTTGACGAAAAGGAATATCTCAGTTTGTGGCTGGTAATGTGTGAAATAAGAAACCGATATTGTGCCCTACATGATATTGTCGTGAAAAATCTGGACAAAATCAAGAAGCCACGTTCCACCAATGCTACAGAATCTTTGTACTAAAAGCTCCATAACACATAAATAAAATAATTCAATTCATATACTGTAATTGATTTTTTTTTTAGTTCTTGTATGTGGAGTGTGACAGTCGAGTATTATCATACAAATATTTTCTTAATGAAATTTATGTAATTTTTTTAACGATAATTAAGGGATTTTTGTAGTGATACTAGCAGTTGATGCATTATTAAAACTGTTGGGGATTTACAGTAGTTACGTTTTTTATTTATTTATTTATTCATTTATTTACAAGAGAAGTCAAATATGCTGAGAAACATTAACAGTTAAATTTTAACTGAAAACAAATAACTCGTGGTTTTGACATTAAACTTGTAATGAAAAAACTATCCATATCTTTCCTGTTCATTTTATCCAGTCCATGAAATCACAGGAGCATGAAAATACAAAACTCAGATTACTATTCAAAAGATTCAAATAAAAAAAAAAATTCCGAGTATATTGAAACAAGCTTGAACGACCGATAAAGCAGACGATGTCATTTTGTCAAAATTAGTGTAAAAAAAATCAGGAAGCTCCTTAGGGAACTTCTGAACTCGAATTCGTATTCAGAAGGTTGAAATTACTAAGTACAAAAAATTTCAGGAAACTCCGTTATGTAATTAGAAAATTAATACCACAAATGTCATTTGTTAGGCGAGTTATTTCACTGAAAATATTTTTTCTGTTTATGAGCTCATCATTTCAAAACGGTTCAAGTATCAGATTTCTGGTTTATACCATTCGATTTCTGGAAACTTTTTGATTCATGTAAGTGATTTCTAGCCTTGATAACTTAGCCGTCCTCGCTTGAGAGACGGATAAACCAGGCGATGTCATTTTTCCAAAATTAATAAGAAAAAAATGAAAAAAATTAGGAAGCTTCTTAAGAGAATTACAAACTCGGATTCGTATTCAGAAGGTTAAAATTAGAAAGTACAAGAAATTTCAGGAGTCTCCATTATGGAATAAGAAAATTAGTACCATAAAAGTTATTTGTTCGGCGAGATATTTCACTGAAAATATTTTTCCTATGTCATTTTTCCAAAATTAGTAATATAAAAAAAAAATTAAAAATCAGGGAGCTCTGAAGAGAAATTCTGAACTCGGATTCGTATTCAGAAGGTTGAAATTAGTAACTACACCAAATTTCAGGAGTCTCCGTTATCGAATAAGAAAATTAGTATCATAAAGGTTATTTCTTAGGCGGGATATTTCACACAATTTTTTTTTCTGTTCATGGGTTCATCATTTCAAAACGGTTCAAGTATCCGATTTCCGGTTTATACCATTCAATTTCTGGGAGCTTTCTTGATACTGCCAATGATTTTCTAGTCCTGATAACTCAGCCGTTCGGACTTGAGAGATCGATAAAGCAAACGATGTCATTTTTCCAAAATTAATTATAAAAAAAAATGAAAAAAAATCAGGAAGCTTCCTAACAAAATTCCGAACTCGGATTCGTATTTAGAAGGTTAAAATTTGTAAGTACAACAAATTTCAGAAGTCTCCATTATGGGATAAGAAAACTATAGTACCATAAAGGTAATTTGTTAGGCGAGATATTTCACTCAAAAATTTTTTCCTATTTTTGAGCTCATCTTTTCAGCATAAAAAAAGTACCCGGTTTCTGGTTCATACCATTCGATTTCTGAGAGATCTCTCGTTGTGGCCCTGATTTTCTAGCCCTAATAAGTTAGCTGTTCGGGCTTGAGAGATCGATAAACCAGACGATGTCATTTTTCCAAAATTAGTAATATAAAAAAATAAAAAAAAAATAGGAAGCTCTGACGAGAAATTCTGAACTCGAATTCGTTTTCAGAAGGTTGAAATTAGTGACTACACCAAATTTCAGGAGTTTCTGTTGTCGAATAAGAAAATTAGTTTCATAAAGGTTATTTCTTAGGCGGGATATTTCACACAATTTTTTTTTCTGTTTATGGGTTCATCATTTCAAAACGGTTCAAGTATCCGATTTCCGGTTTATAACGTTATATTCCTGGGAGTTTTCTTATTACTACCCATGACTTTCTAGTCCTGATAACTCAGCCCTTCGGACTTGAGAGATCGATAAAACAAACGATGTCATTTTTCCAAAATTAATTATAAAAAAAAATTTTAAAATCAGGAAGATTCCTAACAAAATTTCGAATTCGGGTTCATATTCAGAAGGTTAAAATTTATTAGCAAGTACAACAAATTTCAGGAGTCTCCATTATGGAATAAGAAAATTAGTACCATAAAGGTCATTTATTAGGCGAGAAATTTCACCGAAAAAATGTTTCCTATTTTTGAGCTCATCTTTTCAAGACAATAAAAGGATCCGGTTTCTGGTTCATACCATTCGATTCCTGGGAGCTTTCTCATTGTGACCCTGATTTCCAAGCCATAATAAGTTAGCCGTTCGGGCTTGAGAGATCGATAAACCAGACGATGTCATTTTTTCCAAAATTAGTAATATAAAAAAATTAAAAAAAATCAGGAAGCTCTGAAGAGAAATGATGAACCCGGATTCGTATTCAGAAGGTTGAAATTAGTAACTACACCAAATTTCAGGAGTTTCCGTTGTCGAATAAGAAAATTAGTAACATAAAGGTTGTCTCTTAGGCGGGATAATTCACAAATTTTTTTTTCTGTTTATGGGTTCATCATTTCAAAACGGTTCAAGTATCCGATTTCCGGTTTATACCATTCGATTTCTGGGAGCTTTCTTATTACTGCCAATGACTTTCTAGTCCTGATAACTCAGGCGTTCCGACTTGAGAGATCGATAAAACAAACGATGACATTTTTCCAAAATTAATTATAAAAAAAAAATGAAAAAAAAAACTGGAAGCTTCCTAACAAAATTCCGAACTCGGATTCGTATTCAGATTGTGAAAATCACTAAGTACAAGAAAATTCAGGAGTCTCCATTATGGAATAAGAAAATTAGTACCATAAAGGTCATTTGTTAGGCGAGATATTTCACTGAAAAAATTTTTCCTATTTTTGAGCTCATCTTTTCAAGACAAAAAAGGTATCCGGTTTCTGATTCATACCATTCGATTCCTGGGAGCTTTCTCATTGCGGTCCTGATTTTCTAGCCCTAATAAGTTAGCCGTTCGGGCTTGAGAGAGCGATAAACCGAACGATGTCATTTTTCCAAAATTAGTAATATAAAAAAGTCAAAAAAATCAGAAAGCTCTGAAGAGAAATTCTGAACCCGGATTCGTATTCAGAAGATTGAAATTAGTAACTACACCAAATTTCAGGAGTTTCCGTTGTCGAATAAGAAAATTAGCATCATAAAGGTTATTTCTTAGCCGGGATATTAGACATACATTTTTTTTTCTATTTATGGGTTCATCATTTTGAAACGGTTCAAGTATCCGATTTCCAGTTTATACCATTCGATTTCTGGAAGCTTTCTTATTACTGCTAATGACTTTCTAGCCCTGATAACTCAGCCGTTCAGCCATGAGAGATCGATAAAACAAACGATGTCATTTTTCCAAAATTAATTATAAAAAAATGAAAAAAATTCAGGAAGCTTCCTAACAAAATTCCGAACTCGGATTCGTATTCGGAAGGTTAAAATTAGTAAGTACAACAAATTTCAGGAGTCTCCGTTATGGAATAAGAAAATTAATACCATAAAGGTCATTTGTTAGGCGAGATATTTCATTGAAAAAAATTTTCCTATTTTTGAGCTCATCTTTTCAAGACAAAAAAAGTATCCGGTTTCTGGTTCATACCATTCGATTCCTGGGAGCTTTCTCATTGTTGCCGTGATTCTCTAGCCCTAATAATTTAGCCATTCGGGCTTGAGAGATCGATAAACCAGACGATGTCATTTTTCCAAAATTAGTAATATAAAAAAATAAAAAAAAAAATCAGGAAGCTCTGAAGAGAAATTCTGAACTCGGATTCGTATTCAGAAGGTTGAAATTAGTAACGACACCAAATTTAAGGAGTTTCCGTTGTCGAATAAGAAAATTAGTATCATAGAGGTTATTTCTTAGGCGGGATATTTCACAAAAAAAATTTTTCTGTTTATGGGTTCATCATTTCAAAACGGTTTAAGTATCCAATTTCCGGTTTATACCATTCGATTTCTGGGAGCTTTCTTATCACTGTCAATGACTTTCTAGTTCTGATAACTCAGCCGTTCCGACATGAGAGATCGATAAAACAAACGATGTCTAGTTCATACCATTCGATTGCTGGTAGCTTTCTCATTATGGCCCTGATTTTATAGCCCTAATAAGTTAGCCGTTCGGGCTTGAGCGATCGATAAACCAGACGATGTCATTTTTCCAAAATTAGTAATATAAAAATAAAAAAAAAATCAGGAAGCTCTGAAGAGAAATTCTGAACTCGGATTCGTATTCAGAAGGTTGAAATTAGTAACTACACCAAATTTCAGTAGTTTCCGTTGTCGAATAAGAAAATTAGTACCATAAAGATTATGTTTTAGGCGGCATATTTTACATACATTTTTTTTTCTGTTTATGGGTTCATCATTTCAAAACGGTTCAAGTATTCAATTTCCGGTTTATACCATTCGATTTCTGGAAGCTTTCTTATTACTGCCAATGACTTTCTAGTCCTGATAATTCAGCCGTTCGGGCTTGAGAGATCGATAAAACAGACGATGTTATTTTTCCAAAATTAGTAAAATAAAAAAAATCAGGAAGCCGTGAAGAGAAATTCTTAACTTGGATTCGTATTCAGAAGGTTGAATTTAGTATGTACAACAAATTTCAGAAGTCTTCGTTATGGAATAAAAAAATTAGTAAGTACTACGAAGGTCATTTGTAAAGATATCTCACAAAAAATATTTTTCTTGTTTTTGAACTCCTCATTTCCAAACAATCAAAGTATCCGGTTTCCGGTTTATATCATCCGATTCCTGGGGGTTTTCTGATTACTGCAAATGGTTTTTTAGCCCTGATGAGTTAGCCGTCCTTGCTTGACAGACCGATAAAACAGACGATGTCATTTTTCTAAAATTAATTATGAAAAAAAATTCAAAAAAATTCAAGAAGCTTCGTAGGAAA